ACGATTCCCCCATTTAACTTGGTGACCAAAGTAGTTGGTCTTTAACTGCAAACAAAGTTGGAGACCAGAATAAGTTGGTCACCAACCAAATATTATGACCGAATCAAGCTTGGTCTCAAAAATCGATCACCAACGAAAAGGAAATAGAGGCGGGAATGGTTCCATCCAAACTTGGTGACCAATTTGGTGACTAATATCGTATTTGGTCACTAAGTTAGACGAAAAGACAAGAACTTGGATACCAAATAAAATCTGGTCACCTAAAGTTTCTTTTGGTGACCAAAATCTTGACGGTCACTGAAGATTCGGTCACCAAAACCCTTTTTTCTTGAAGTGGGGAAAGATTAAAACAGGAAAATCACCATATTCTTTTCTTTTCTTTTTGAAATAAAAATAGATTTTCCACAGTTTTGTGGACATTATTTAGGGTTAAATAACACACATTAATATATAAATTTATATATATATTTAAAACGAGTTAATCTATATATTTGTCTCTGGCGGAATCATTTTACGAGATAAAGTCATATTTTTCATGTTTGATGCCTTAATTAGATAAGTAGTGATGCATGAAGGGAAAATTTACCGTGAATGAATGATGTATCAATTGTCAAAAGTATGTCCTAACTTTTAATATTTAACTCCAAATAAAAAATGTTAAAAATAAATGGATATGATTCTTGTGGTTTGAGATTTAGGAGTTGGCATAGAAGACTTCACAGTCATATATAGTGCTTTATTCATTCCTATATACAACCGCTCCCTCTAGGCATCGTGCTCTATTCATTACATTATACAAATTCTCTATCATAATGTTGATTTGCTGAAGAAGTTTTTATATTGCAAAAAAATAAAATAAAAAAAACCATTATAGCTTCTAATGCAGGGAAGAATCCTCTTACATTTGGTGTTTCAATGTAACAATAAACAAAATGTACTTGGAGTAAATTTCAAAAAAGAAAAAGAGAGAGAGAATTTTCATACATCATCACATATTGGAAACAAAATGTATTTATCATAGCTAAGTCTGAATTATTTCAGTAACAATGCAATGTGAATAAGAAACTCTCCACCGGACTTCAATTGGGCAACTGATATGCGTCAAACAGTTTTCTTAACACCACAATATGCATTAATTCTTTCCTCATTAGATAGAGATCTGGTTGTTGCAAGAAACTTCAAAAATCCAAAGTGATCAAATGGACGAAATTGTAGTGAACCATCATCACCAGCTAACTCTTCAGGTACGTGAATTATTCCCTTATGGTAACCGAATAGCCCAACTGACATTCTGTCTTTGTCGCCAATTATTACCCTATGTAAACAATGGCGTATCTTCCCGTTGCTCCAAGCCTACATTAAACACATTATCATTGAGTTAAAGATCATAGAAACCTATTTAAATTTATTTTAAGAAAATTATAATAATATAACAAGGGATAATTATAACATAGGGAAAAGGAGCGACAAAAGAATAATAACTTACATGTAAGGCGTCACCAGCCATAATGACAAAAGAAGAAAGTGGAAAATCAATAGGAAACCAAGTTTCATCTTTGGAAAATTGCAGGCCTGGAACTTCATTCTGTTGAAGAATGCTTATAAAAGTTGGGTCGGTATGAGGGAAACCATCGTCTTCCTGATGAGTTGGTTGGGGTACAATGTAAGAGTGGCCTCTAAATAGATACGAGGATGAATTTATATGAGAATCCCAATATTTCTCAACTCCATAACTCTCAAAGATCATCCGAGTCACTATGTCCCCCAGTTTAGATGCTTGTGTCACGTAACGATGTATATTTTTACTGACATAAAAATCAAAGATAAGTGGGAAACAAAAACTTGAGTTGATAAAAGTTGTTTTTTTTAAAATAAATAAATAAATAAAGAAAACTTATTACTAAGTGTTTGATATATGATATAAGAATAAATTCCTAACAACCACCCAAGAAAAAAAGAAACTACATTTTTTTTTAGAAGTTTCATTTGCATTAATAAGTAACCCACCACATATCCATTTCAAACGAAATTATTGTGCTACTAGACCAAAGATGAATTGACAATCTCTACAAATCTTCTTGAATTCATCTAAACATTTTTTAAGAATATTTCTGAAGCAAGTATAATTGGTGTTCGCTCTTGCCTCAAATAAAAATAGAAAGGAACTAAACTTAACCCTTTAATTAACACAATAATAATAATGCTTTTGACGAAAAGGAATAAAAATGGTTCACCTTGGGCATTTTATTTTCTGTCCAGTTATGTAATGTTACAAAAAACGACGCTATATAAGTTCGCAGGAGAAAAGAGTAAAAGTATTACCAGAAATCATTGTTGCCAGAGGGCCACATGAGATCCGTAAAGCCTCGAAGTGCTTCAAGAGTTGTTGAGTCCTCGATCCCGACGGTTTCAAGGATGTGGCTCGACAACGTTTTCTGAAAATAACCGAAACCGGGCAACTCTGATTTGTAGAGCGATTTGGTCTCCAAGGGGAGATTAAACAACTCCTTGAGTGAAGAAAAGACCGAGGCGATGTGCTCTTGGCCCCGGCCGAGTTCGCCATCGCCGTAAACGGCGATGAAGCAGCTGAATTCTTCCATGGCTTCCCGCACGGCATTGCATTTGGATCTCCAGCTTTCTGTTCCGGGCTTTAGGTTTTCTGCGGTGAAAGTAATGGTGGGGAGCTTTTTGCTATAATTGTTTTGCTTCTCTAAAGAAGCTGAATCTTCAACCTTATTGTTATCCATTAGCCCAAGGTTTAATTTGAAGGTTAAAGCTTTCGGAGGTTTTGCTGTGTTTTGATGCTTCAAGTTTTCGAATGTTATATAACGTGAGCTGAAATTTGTCTTAGATGGGTACACTCTTCTAAATATCGTGGCCTACACCAAAATAAAAATAAATAAATAAAAGGAACAACTGTTGGGCCGATGGCATTTATTTGTCTTGAATTATTGCTTAATTAAACTTAGTAACTGTTTTCAGATTTTTTATATTATTGTGTTTAATGACGAATTACAAATATTCTGACTACGTACTAATCTAACTTGAATGCCTCGAATTCCTACAAACTAAGGTCTTGACAGATTTCGGATTAGCAATGTACTTCATGCCACACCAAGAGAATGGTAGATAACTTGGTGAATTTAATTGTATCTTTTTTTTTTATTTATATGCATAGGAAGTTTTTTTTTTTTTTTTGAATTATAAAAATTTGAATCTTAAAAAGAAAATCTAATCTTAATGCATTTTTAATCCTTGAAAAATTACGAAATGTGTTATACATGAATTTAATTTGTTGATCCCGATTAATAATCAACATCCACAGATTAAGCTTTATATTTAATATATATAGTTTTCAATTTTATTATTATCGTTAATTTTTTTTTCTTTAGTTGGTCCATCAAATTCCTGTGATACTTGAATATGATCATGAAACGTGCTAGAAAAGGGAGTTAACGAATGGGACATCAAAATAAAAAATTATAAATACATAAATAAATAAAAAAGAAAAAAGAAGAATCACGCAAAGATTAGTCTAGGAAAAATATATACTTGCTAAGAAGCGATAAACTGAACTTTGCAACTGTTTTGACTTTTGATGGAGCTGGGTGATAATGGAGATTTAACTTAATGTGGGATTGAGTAAGAATAATTAATCTTGATTAGACGCGCATACAGAAACTGGAACTACTGAATGAGGCAATTGATAGTTGCATCGAAAATACTTTTACTATTTACTCCTTCAGTCCTGAAATTATTGTCCACTTTAGATTTTCATTTTCAGTACCAATTGAAGTAAAAATGAAAACTCAAATTGGACAAAAACTAAAAATGAAAACTTAAATTGGACAATAATTTTGGGATGGGGAGAGTATTAGTTTGTGGCTGCCATGACAAAATCTTTGAATGAAAAAAAAAAATGCATATGCACAATAACTAATCGCATATCCGCGGGGATAATTACTTGATGCTGCCGACCTTTCAACAATACCACATTGAGAAATTAAACAAGATGAACTGGCTCGGGTCAACGCAAAAACAAGAACACGCACTGATGATTGTTGAAATAATTTAATGAATACCATCCTACATCCACGCGCAAGTTTATGAACCCTTGCGCGGAGGAAAACTTAAAGGGTGTAATTTAGTGAATCATCTATATTGACAACCGATTGGTGGTGTCATTGTTGGTGCAATTTAACCAAATTAAGCAGTGCAATTTAATTAACACCTACTATATTCATATTGCTGCGCATAATATATTGCTGCATGAATTAGGGCAAGCAAATGCTTTTGTTTGCTGTGATGAATGAAGGTTTAGAGCACTTGCGGAAGGCTACAACTCTATGCATATTTGAAACGGAAGATATATAATGACACTGAACATTTGCTCATTTGATAATTGATACACGTGTGCAATCAACTCTAGTTAGAACCCAAGGGCTTGATGCAAACATGAACAAACTTGACTTCTCATGTGAGCGTCTTGTTACAAACTAATTAATTAGTTGCAATACTAACTGTAGTTAAAACTATATCATTATCTTGTCCAAAGAGTTTTTTGGAAATAGTCTCAAAACATCTTTTGAAACCTATACCTCACGCGCAACACAAAAACACTATGAAACAACAAACCACAACGCAGCTAGCTTTTTTCACGGTTATAGCTAACCTGTCTTACTCTTTAATCCTTACCAGAATTTTAATTTTTAAAAAATAAAAAATTGCTACGTTCGACGTTGGAAATGGAATTTTAATTTGGCTGGATTTTTCTATTATGCATGAACTCCTCCTCAGCCTAACTAGTCACGAAAATCATTATATTAGGCGGAGTTCGCTTTTGTTGGACTCCCTTCTTACGTGGATCAAAGCCCAGATTTTCGTTTAAGTTTTTTGTGGCTCATTTAGACCACTCAGCAAAATCAGCCATTCTGATTTCTTGAAGGGGGTAAACAATCAACTGTACGTTCCCAACTTCAGTTTCAAACTCCAAACCTCAACACCACCAAACAAAACGTGATTGCACCATCAGCCCAGTAGCTATCAGTTATGACTTTGCATTGCACATGTTCTTTCAGCAAATGCACATGTTCTTTCAGCAAAATACAATAATATAGGAATTCCCAAAATATGACAATTTTTCTTCTTCCCCCGACTGTGTGTAAGAAGAAGGGAGGGGGGAAGATTCCAGCATCATCTTTCAAATTTACAAGTCAAAAATAATTTGGAGGTTTACAACGTATACATGACCTAGCCAACAAAAACAAAAATACGGTTTCAACATCTTGTACATCGAGACTAAAATTTACTGAAATTTAACTCAAAACAAATCTATAGATGAAGAAATAAAATTATTAGTACACAATCTATTCACCTTTTCGCTGAGCTTGACACTATTCTACATGACTAACAAACCTCTATAGCAAAAGTATTCCACCTGCCCTCAACCTGAAAAATTAATCTTCATTCGCCTTTATGAGATGGTACAACCCCTGAAGCCCTTCGCGTGCTAAATGTCCATTGTGATCAGAATTGGGAACAAAATTTAATAAGCATGTTACTATGCCATCTTACTTTGAATTTGCCGATGAATATGTACTAAAAACTCAACATATGAGAGCCCACTTTGAGTTTTGTCTTCTACCAAGTGGGAGAAAAACAACATTCCTGAAAGGGGGGAAAAAGAAGAAGAAAGAAACCAAGCAAGAGGGTTAATGTTAAGCATAAAAGATACAAGACAAGGAAAAAATTTGGAAGTACTGATGGAAAATAATTAAATAAGACTTCCCATAGAGCTTATATAAACCTATAATTGATTGAAAAAATTTATCACTAACAAAACCTAAAACTCTAGAAAGTTCAGAAAGAGTCAATCTTCCGCTAACCTGATGGATCTCCTTTCTTACATAACTTTAAGCTGCATAAATTGCACAAGAAAAACAGAATAGTCAAACCAGGATAGAAATACACCAAATGATATCAACTATCATGCTGACATAATCTTGAAAGAAAGATGAAGAAAATGCAGGGGAAAGAGTGATACCGAAGATAGGAACATCTTTGGCGCCTTATTTCATTCATCACAGCATTTAATTTCTTCGACAGAGGATTGTCCAACTGCTGTAGTACAAACTACAAAATTCAAATCAAAGATTTTTTAACTTACTGAATATCCAAGGGTAGTGGTGTAAATTTAGAAATCCCACATTAGCTAATTTTACATTGGTACATAACTCATTTAGCAAGGCAAAGGGAAGCATTTTAGATCTTGCAAACTACCTATCACTTTTCCATTTAATTAGAGATCCCAACACATTAAGATGGTTTTTGGACAACCAACAGACACATAACATAAACCGACTTTACAGCTTTTACAGAAAAATTATCTCATATGATCCAATAAAAAGAGTAGGGAGGTTGCTATTTAAGATCAAGGACAGGTTTGTGAAGTTCGTTGAACACAAAAGGCACTCGAAACGCTTTCAACGTGCTGGAAATGACATAAAGCATAATTACATTAGAAACTTAAAAGAAACAAAGAAAGGATACCTGCGACGGAACTTCCTCCAAGGATGTAATGCCTAAAAGTTGTTTGAGTAAATCCTGATCCACACTGCCTCCGACATAAATTAAACAATCCTCACCATTTTCAAGAAGATAGATCCCATCATCACTAACATGCTCACTTGAAAGAGGAATAGTAGGAGGAATCAGATCTCCCTCACTTTCCTATCAGATTCAGAAAAGTGGGATTACTAACACATTGATCATAATTTGAAGAGGGATAAAAGACAATGCCCACCTTGGAGCCAAGATTATGTATAGCAATCATCCTTGGGTACACCAGGGAGATGGTCAAAGGAATAGAAAGAGGGGCAACTTTATTGATCCAAAAGGATCTATCGTCAATACGCCCATCAGTTCTCAATCCCGTGCTTTTGTTCAGAGCTGCAAACAAATAAATCATAAATCATCCTCTAATCATATAAACCACTACAGAGATGTCCTCAGTAGGAAGGAAATATTCTTGTGCGACGTTAATAAACTAGAAAAACATGGATGGAAGTTTTGGCAAAGAAAAGGACTCAAAACTGCACACAGAAATTCATAAGCTTGGGCTGAATTTAACTACTAATGCACTGTTCTTCAGAACACACAACTCCCACGTTACTTGGAGTTTCTGAACAAACATGTGAATATTCACATATAGCACAAAAAAAAGTTACTAGTCTTCCACCTCAAGCAAGTCTACTTTGAATATTGAACTGTATTGTCAAGCCTGGGGGAGTGGGTACATCTTTAGTTATGTGACCCCAGGTGGTTCAAGTAATAAAAGCAGCCTCATACAGAAATATAAATTAAGGCAGCCTACATTAGGTCTTAGCGGAAAGACCCTGCACATGCAGGACTTCTAAGCTAGGGGCTGCACATGCAAAAATTACAAAAAAGGGACCTTTAAGATGTGCATAAGAGGAGTTTCGGCATTTGCCACAAGGTATTATGCCCGGTTGATTCCAAAAAGCAAACATGTGATTCCACAACACCACAGTTGACAATTGCTAAAATAGAACTTGCATGACTTCATGAAAGGAAACATTCAAGATGCCTTACCGAGCACATAGAGAGGCAATAACTTGAGCGCCTCGGGAAGAATGAGCTGCCCAGTCGATGATTGTACGGTAGCACAGAATTTGCGGTATGAGTGCAGAATGTTGATACAAGTGGTGTTTACTTGCTCCCTCATATGAACAAGTGAAGTGGAAGGAATTTCATTAGCCACTGGCAGCACAAAAAGAATGTGATGAGAATGAATTGAATTTATGCGATGCATGAATCAACTATCTATGACCAAATTTTGTCAAAAAGGTAAAGCAACAATGCAAATTTTTTGAAAGGGGAGAACGTTTGAATATACAAAATATTTACTATTCTTTAAAACAGCTGAAATTACCAAACAAAGAGGGAAAAGGATGGTATGTGAAGCCACAATTGTAAGGAACCAATACCTTGCTTTGCCACACAAGCAAATTGAGTATCTAAGTCTGCCGAGCGGAAGAGATTACTCAACATGGTGGTGCATGGTAGAGACAAAGTCGATACACGAATTCTTCTTTGACCATACACAGTTGTGTAAAGAAGAGCAGACTGGAAACGTCATGCAGAAAGACACAATAAGTCCCAAACAAATCACAATTTGTTGATAAAATTAGCAATTCGAGTACGAAGAATAATTACACTGCCTAAACAAACTCTATTGTATTCCAGCTCTTCCTATTCTTTTTGAAAAAGAACAAAGGGAAATAAAACATAGACCAAGTAATGAAAATGAAAATGCATCATATTGCCATACAGTATTACAATAATAGCATTCCAAGAATAGACATGAAGTTACTACACCTGAAATGCACATTCAGACCCATCTTGCAATTTGTCCACGTGCTTTAAAGTTACCATAATTGTTTTGTCACAATCAATCTGCAAAAATAAGAGCCCAATCAGGAAGGGAAAAACAAGCAGATATTTGTAGGAAGCATACCAGGCAAAATCTACACGGATCAAAGAGGACATTCATGCAACTCATATAACAAAGCATTATGGACCAAATCTACCCAATTTCACACTCATACTTTGCATCATTTACCAAATTATACTTCACCAAAGAGGACGAGAGAAAAAAAGATAGAAATACTTGCCACAAATTTGTTGTATATGAAAATGAGACAGTATGCAAGTTAAAGAAACAAACACGAATAGAACTCAAACCAAAAGGCCTTTTCTCAAGAAATTTTTATATCTCATGACAGTTTCAGTTATCTGCCAGGTAGCTGCCCCAACACAGACAAAACTACGAGAGAGAGAGAGAGAGAGAGAGACAAACCGCAGGTAGATCTACATCAGTTGGTATTCGCTTACAGAAGTTCCCAAAATAATCCTGAACTTCAAGGCCCTGCAAGAAGAATTATTTAGCCAGATCTAGTATCCTATCGTAAAGAACTAGCCACAGATGAAGCCATGTGGTTCTTGCTTTATAGAGAAGCAGCATGCAATTGAGTTACCAGAACACTAGTCAACTCACCATACTACACCTAACACGCATTACGGCCTCAAAACCCTGAGGTCTAGCAATGTTCCACCGAAGATCATTTGCAAGCTTAGCCGGATCAGAAATAGCAGAGAATGGGTAGTAATAATACACCTAGAAGAATGGGAAAACACCTCAAGTAAATAACAGAAGGAGATGAGAAAATAAAAAATGAATAAGCACAAAATTTAAGAATAGTAGACAAAGTTGCAAATTACAGAGAGGACAAGGGAGCGACTTTTCATTTACCTGCCCACCTGTAGTTCTTGGAATGACTGATACTGAAGCAATGTCTACATATGTTTGAGCGGTAATAAACAAATCAACACAGACCTGACAACAGTTTGCACAATGAGTTATACTGTAAAAACTGTTGATTAAATGAAAAACCATAATAGTAAAACCGTAAACTGACTTGGTACTCAGCAAATTCAATAGCCATGGTCTTCAGAGTTTTATCAACAGGCTGGAGTAACTTATGAGCCTCCTGAAATTAATTAATGAACATAGTCATATGAGTTGCTAGTTTGAGAAATGAGCGAACATGCTTCACCAGACAAATGAAGATTATGTAGTTGTGTAGTCATACCTTCTCTCCAGCAGATATATTTGTCCGTCCTTCTGCCTCTCTAGCTGAAAGGGCTCCAATGCCTACCGATGGCAAGACTGCAGCAAAATGGCCGACGATATCAGAAAAACTTAAACAATTCATTTAATAGACACACTAAACAAACAACCATGAAGGAAAGCGCCAAGTTTCAATAACGTGAAAATCTAGAAGTTTCTCACAAGTTCTATGAACCCATCCATAGATGGAAAACAACAATTGTGGGCTTCAAAACATAAGGTATGTCATCTAGACTAGGAGAAAATCACAAAAAAATGCTCTACCATCCGTTCTATTAAGATAGTTCAAGAATATCCCTTTTCAACAAAATTTAAACGCATAACATTTCAAATGCAGAATATGCATTCCTCTGTGTTATATATGGGGTGTCAACTAACCTGACTGAAAAACAAGGAGCTTGCCTCCAGTACTCTGCACCGCCAAAAAGGCTGCCTAATGAAGTGACAAGGTCAAAACAAGTTTGCATAATTAGGCCAGACATAGACCTATAATGTATTAAGAAAAAATGAACAAAAGAACATTTAGTTCCAAAAAGTTCTTAACAGGTCCTCCCACAATCATGTGGAAACTGAACACAAGGCTTTTAGATAATTATTTTCCCATTTTCTAGCCACTTCCATGTGACCTCGTTTTGATGGTCAACTAGTAGCTAAACTAATTAGTTAAACACATACCTTGACTGCAGCACCAAAAGACGAATCAGAAGTTCTATTATTCTGAAACATGGTTGGGATAGTCTCCAACAACAGCTCTAGATGGTCTCGGCACTGTTAAGAATTCAAAATTAGTGAGTTTCATAAAAGCAACACTCAAAGAGTCTCCTTCAAACATGTGCCTTCTAGCACAAAAGATCCAGGAACAAACTAATCTACTGAACAGAACTCAAGAAGCAAACGGTAGTAAAGATTACCTCAGATAATTGAACCACTACATCAGTTTGAAGAGGAGTATAAACATCTTGTACATCTGGGACAACAAGCATCATTGGCTGCAAATGTATAATCAGTTAGCATCAATACGATTTGTCAGTCACAACTTTAGGCACATCAACTGAAACAGATACCTCAAAATATCTAGTAACCTATATAAAGCTTTGATAAGGCTTGAAAGATCGCATCTGCTTGGACTTAAATATCCAGGTTAAAGTTACTTGAGTGACACTTTACAAAGTGACATTCATATTCGTTTCAGAAATGGCGGAAAAATGTAAACCCTTCATGGGAATATACACATATAATTCCCAACATAGAGTTTAAACACAATTACCTGTTGCAACTGACATTTCAAATTGTAGAAGTGAATAGTCGAGTCAAATGTAGCGATCCCCACCATAGTACGAGGGCCCTCCTACAACAATATCAACTTTTTATATATCTCACATTTTTATTGTGTCAATACATAAACCATCAACTGGAAGAACCCGGATAGTTTACATGACATAATTTAAGACATGAAATCATAAACTCTGCAAGCACAAAATCCTGTCTTGTATGCTTGAGAATGAACATAGTTTCAGGCCCCAATACAGCAATGCATACAGAATTCTAAGATCTAAATTAGCAAAGTCTACTAATTGGAGAAAGGTAAATAATTCATCAAAAGCAACTCGCAGCATTAGAAAACACCTGAACATATTATTTGACCCTAAGTGTGGCCTCAAATATCTTTTAGCATACAACTTGAAGAAATGATAGATCAAACTTACTGGAAGATCACCAATAACTTGGCTGATTGCACTACAAGCTGCTGCCGTAGCACCAGTCTGTATGGCATTCAAGGACACATCGATAAGAAAGAAGTATACAGCAGGCATTGGATCTCTCACCTGGCAGCAGGAAAAACAATGCAATCAGCAAATGACAAAATGCAATATATGTACACCCACCCACCCAAACACACACACACACACACACACACACACACACACACACACACACACACACACACACACATTATATTTAAATTTTGGTTTGGTATAAACAAAATTGTCTAAAAATGTTCCACATGCAAAACCCTTTTTTACTTTGAGATTAAAAAAAAAAAGGTCAAAATGCGTGAGCATTCTTAAAAGGCTAAAACAACTGTCTTAATATTTCCATTTTTTTCTAAAAGAATTATTAAAACAATTTAAATGATCATTATTTCACCATAGTGGAATATATTTGATCTCACTTATGAAAGCCAGCGCCCTATTACTTAACCACCAATTATAATCCATGTAAATCTAAAGAAAGTAATTAAAATTTAGATGTTCCAAAACTTTGAAGCAAGTCTTATTGAACCACTTCTTTGCAGATACGCGGAAAACTAATTAAGAAGATGCTTATTAATTAAGCAAAAAATATTACAAAAGAGAAAGCAGTTAGTTGTTACGGGGAAACAAAAAAGATAAAACTCAAAATCACATAGAACACTCCTATCTACTTCCTTCTCATCACATATTTATTCATAAACATATTGTTATCATGTAAATTTCCTGAACTATGTCAAGTTAGTCAAACCTCATCAACTCTACGAATTTATCCAATTACATGTAGAATTCAAAATCTGATGGCATCCACGAAAAATCCTATTATATCTTCTGGCGTAACTATGGACTACGAGAACTCCAAGAACAGCATAAAAGGTGAATCTCAAAAATTGTACGAGAGGCAATTTCACAATAAAAAGATGGTTAAATGCATGATATTAGATCACAAAATGATGATTGAACAAGAGTTCCATGGAAAAGTAACTAACAGTAAATTCCTTTGTAGCAACAAATTCAACTGTTCCTCTGCACAACTCCGGCCTTTCATCAGCATCTCTACGCCTACCATCAGGACCCAAATTGCACTGATAGTCACGGGGAGTCTCATTTGCAGCTCCTGTAGCAAGTTGACAGGAATGCTGATTAGAAGCATTTTACAGAACTTGTACAGTGTTTCAATAGTTGATAAGCAACCTAATCATTAGAAGCATTATACAGAGCATGGACTGTTTTTTGTGCTGCGTCAAAATCCAATGAATTCCTCTCTTTCCCTAACAGTAAACTATATTTACCCCCAAGCTAGCATTTCAGTTCTCCCCTTGCCCTCCTTGCTAAATGCTTCACGAGATTTCATGCTCTCAAGAATCCAATGAATTTCTCCTTTCCCCTAAACATAACTAACTATCCATTTACTGCCATGACAGCCTTTTTAGTTCTCTTCCCCTTGCCCTTGCTAAATGTCAAACTATAATTTTAAAAAATCCATTGCCCCTTCCAAAAAAAAGCGATAAACATTTCCAACTCATACAACAACAGGGGAAACAAAAGAAGTAAAAGGAAACCCACGTGCATGTAAAAAGGATGTACTCACCACAAAGGTTACAGATGAAATGTCTTCCTTGATCAATAAATTTCATGAAAGGATTTATGTAAGCTTTGCATTGGAAACATCGTACAGGACCACTCTCGCCAAAATCCACAATCTACAAGGAACCATGACACAGAGGAAAAAAAAAAAGTGGATTACAAAATTATCCCAAAAAACTTACCACTTCCCAGGAGAATGAAGGTATACTTCTTCAAAACTGAGCGACATCAAACCACACATGTGATGACAATTACAGTGATTCACAGCATTGCAAATGCCAGGAAAGGATGTGTTGGAACAAACTTAATTTAAAATGGTTGAAACTTCAGCTAATATTCTAGTTCTAGGGCATTGATGCATGCAGATAAAATAGAAAACAAAAGAAACTGATTAAAAAAAAAAACTGCATGCTGAAGCCAACAGACATTATTTAGCTCATCACTAAAAAAGCCATTTCAAATTTGAGTAGATTCAACATTACTAGAGTTGCCCAATTTTAAGCTTCCAACAATTACCCTAAAGAGACAACAATGACTTCATTTCTCACCATTAAACTAGATGATTTCTTTTCACAAGATTCTCCGTCACAGGATGTCGTGCTTTCAGCACACAATCCACACGACATTCAAGTGTAATGTATGATAGTGACAACACATTTCCAAATAAGCAGCCCAAATATGATAACACCGTGCCCTCTGATTCCATCATCCATATTACTCGTAAAATATTAAAGAATGCCCTAAAGGTTATACTAACCAAAAAAAAAAAAATAGAACTAGGCTGGTTTATCAATATAATTATTAATAAAAAGGCACCCGAGGTACATTATCAAACACAAGTTATTCTTTCAGATGTAACATCACAGACTTGACTTCAGGTTAATCTTCTATATACTTACGTCTAATAAAGCGTGTTTTTTTTTTTTTTGACAAATTAGCGACTCGGGTGATCCAGAAGGCATGTGCATACTAAATAAAGAAAGCATGTTATGGAATGGCATGTTCATGAAAGAAAGCATCCCACAAACTTCCCCGGCGAGAAAAAAATCCCTTCTCCGGAGTAAAAACCCTCAAAAAATAACATATTTCCCATTTCTTCTAGAGCAAATGCAATTTGTAAAGCTGAAAATGCACAATAGCTTTATGGCAGCCCTAGAATTCCAGGAAAAACTCACATCACAATCTATGGCACATATTTCCTTGGGAATGGTGTTATATAGCTTGTATGCTATTGAAGATCAAATCATCAAAGGAAGATTTATGTTTTGTGGGTACATAAATACATAGAGAGGAGAAACCAAACTCAGGTAATGTGCAGCAACCGCTATACTTAAGGTCACATGGCCAATATATAAAGATTTCAAAGCCTACAAATCCTCCAAGGATCCATGTTATCTAGGTGTATGCGAACTGTTCTTGAATGCAAAGTTCGATAGATGAACTATTTATCTAGCTTTGGATGTAAAACTCATGTCTCCACATGGGTGATTAGCTTGTTTGAATAGCACTGTTATCTTACTGGACCAACTTAGAAGACCAGAAAAAGACTGGCATAGACAAATGTCCAATCATGCTTAACCCAACTCAATGAAAATTAAGCAAAAAAGCATTTTTGGCCAAAAAAAAAAAAGGATAAATGCATAAGAAGGTGATCGAATTTGCAAACAACTTCTTACACTTGGAGATGCACAAGGTAAAGGTAGCATGTTTTATTTTTTGTAACAAGAGAAAAAATTGGGACTAGAAAAAAAAAATAATTACATGAATAGGTTCCTCGGATGGATGCGGGAGAGCCAAGGGCTGAACTAGCAAAGCCATCTGCATTGCAGATGTATTCAAAAGGTCAACAGTGCAAGGGACCTGCCACAACAGCAGAGAACTTTTACTCATCAGCATCTTATATCACATAAATGAAAACAGTAGATCACAAACAACCACTTTTCCAATCCAAAGGGTAAATGCATATGCATGTAATATGCAACCGAAGCAGACACACGGACCTGGTTTATAGTGCATCTCATGTAGCGTGGACTACAATTGCCGGTGTCCCTAACAATATAGTCACTTGTTGCAGGCTTCAGAGAGAAAGAACATTGAAAAAAGGAGAAGAGAAACAAAATGACATCAGCCAACAGGTTAAAAAAAATTATGTAGTTTCACAATCTACAGGTAAAATTACTGATAGTGCAGGAAATAGAGGAGAGTACAAAACTGCAACTATGGGGAGAGAGAGAGAGAGAGATGGAGGAGGGGTGTAGAAACATCCAAAAAAAGGATGAATAAACAATTAATTGCTAAAAGAGTATATCCCAGAGGAAGAGCAGGTATTGAATTTATTTCTTTTGTAGTTAATAAGCACATAGGTTACCGGGGGGAAGTTCGCTTGGTTTCCTTGGCGAGTTTCATGCAGAATTACAGAAGAACCAGGTATAGGACGGGGAATTTGGTTTGGATCAATCTTGGATGATCCAGCCATACCAGCTCCAGAAGTCATAGAAGTCATTGGCTGGCCCAGACCTGGAGGAGGCATATACATTCGAGGTGGTTGCCCTGGACCAGAAATGGGAGGAGGCGGAGCCATCTAAAAGGACACAAATTTGAAAATCGACTCAAAATATATAAAGGAAAAAGTACTGGAAACTGACGAACCTCAAATTCACCATGAAAAGCTAGAATCAAAATACATTTACATACAAATACAACAGAAACAACAACCAATATTATATCGGTGTAGGCACTATGGATCACCCTCCTGCCGTCGTGTTTATTCAAAGCATGTCTAAATTCAAGGAAAAGTTTTGTCATTTGATATCCTATAATAAATTATGGTTGGTTCAAAACTACTCTTTACTTCAAAAACTCCATCATCCAAAAAAAATAATGGTCTAGGAGACTAGGACTATAAGGAGCGGCACAGGTAAATGCAGGTACATAGCGTATCAGTATTTCTAATCCACCGAGGATGGAAAGGTGTGGGTGATAAAGAGTGGAATAAAATAAATGATTAGGACTTGCATCATGATAACAGAACAAGATATTATAAGTTCACAAACAAGACAGAAATGCATGAGCTTCAATTTAAGGATAACTAGGACTATCTGCATTACATAAGTTTACAATCCTCCATCAACTCATCATGTTTTTTAAGCACAAAGGTACTATCAGCACTGGAAATGGGAGTAGTCTGAGCCCTCAACATGCTATAGTTTCTTATTACCAAAAAAAAAAGTAAGGTTTGAACAAAATGGAAACTCTGCAGTTTCATGCTATCGAATTAGTAAATGTACATTCTATTCAAAATAGTACATACACTAATAAAATAGTAAGATGAGACTCCTTTTATAAATCAACATATGAAATGCTTTTGAACTTCTTTATGGCCAAGAAACGTGCAATTAATGATCTTACAACAACTAGCTATTTGTACAAGAAAAATAACAGATAATTGGTTCCTATAACAGCAACACATTTTCAATCGAGGACCAACCACTAAGACTTTGTTTTACCATATAACGTCAGCTACATGGATTACATTTAGGCAATTTTGTTCTGCAAAAGGTTCATAGATTAAGGAAATTTAATCAAATTTAAAGGAAAACGCATATTCACATAGAAAGTAGTCAGATTAGTCACTGAAATCCGTAGTCACATCATAGTGTTATCATTACAGACACAATACTTGAATTGGCGTGCTTCTGGTCATCAAACATAGAAAAGAGCGGTGAATAAATACAAAGATTGAAAAACATATGCACTACAATATCATAATCCAATGTTAATCCAAAAGGAAAGACATAGAGAAATCAGTAGATTTAGACAATATGTACAATCCTTAGACAACAGGATTATGAATAACCCAGTTCTGAAACAATGCAACAAATAAACTGCAGAAAAAAGTATATAAGAAAAGTTACCCGCCCAGGAGGTTGGATTTGCCATGGCTGTGTAGCATATGGAGGGCCAGAAGGTGTATGTACGCCTTGAACTGGAGCCGCAAAAGGTGAGGTGCCTGGAGGTACCGAAAATGGTGGGGTTGGTAGCGCTGGACTAGGTACTGCAGTAGCAGGTGGACTTCCAAAAGGTGAACGCATGCTTGTGGGGTGAAAAGGAGTTCCTGGGGGTGCCATTGATCGAGGTGGACCACCTGCTGGAGGAAATCGTGGTGCAATGCCAGAACTTGGACCCGGAGCTCCAACTTGCATGGGTCCCGATCCAAATGCAGGAGGTCCATTGCTAGTCGCACCAGAGGTGTCGGAAGGTGGAAAAGCAGGACCTGATGGGGCAGGTCCAGGACGAGGACCAAAACCAGAAGCTGGAGCAGCACCTGGAGGCGGGGGCACAGCTGAGCCAGCTAACGAGGGAGCAGTTGGTCGAGGTGGAGCCAGGGTAGACCCAGCAACTGAAGGAGTAACCCCAGGAGGTGGAGGTCTAGATGGGAATGGTGGAGGAGCTTGAGTCATTGGAGGGGGGCCAGTGGGTCTACCAGCAGCCAGATTAGAAGGATATGACGATTGGGGGGGACCACTAGGCGGCACAGGACCCCTCGGAAATGCACCAATTGGTGGAGGACCAGGACGGGGTACTGGGTTGGCCCCTGGGACAGTTGGTGGCTGTTGGCTGAATGGTGTAGTTTGCCTAGGGGCATTCGGATTAAGATTCCCACCACTTGGAGGTTGATTTGGCCTATTTAATTGTAGATTTTGCATATTATTGGCTAATACATTAGGGTTATAATTCGGTGGCATGTTGCCAGGCCTGGGCCCTCCTGGAAAAGCCATTGCTTTTGTTTCACTAAGGTAAAAGGATAATCCAAAACTAAGATTGTGAATTAACTACACCTATAACTTCCACCACAGATCCAATAACCTGCAAATTGAAACCATTCAAATTATAAAAAGGTCAACTTGTGAGCCAAATTACACCCAACTAAAGGCTTGAAATTCTTCGCCATGCAGACTAGTAAATTTCTACTTAAGAAACAATATATGTCAAGGTACCATTTAACAAAAACCACATTCCTACATTGATTCACAATGGGGGAAAAACAAAATCCCTACAAGTTTTTATCACAGTTGTTAGATATTGCCAACGCCAGGTAAACAGATTTCGATTTCAAGGACTAAGTATTAACATAAAGAAGGGGGAGTTTAACGAATATCACATCTAAGATACTCGGATCAGAACATTGTGCCCGTAATTCTAATTATTTCATAGCTACAAACCATGTAAAGATTCAACCTTTGTCCACAAACTAATTAAATCCGCCAAAATCTCCGTAATCATAGAAAAGCGGGATCAATCAATGACAGAATTTAGAGACAAATGCCACCCCCTAACGGCGGATTCAACTCAACAAAACCCAAAAATCAAAACGTGAATTGATATATGTACCTTCAGCTTCAACGGACGTTAACAGTATCAAATTCTGGTGATTGGAGAGATGGGTCTTCCCCCACGCGAATCCGGAGGCACAAGGGCGGAGAAAAGTGGTCGGCGGCAACGGATCGTGGCGGATCGCGGTGGTGAAGTTGGATGTACTCCGTAGTAGAAACGTTTAAGACTTAGTAGTTGGGCGTCGTATCATCCTTATAAACATAGGCCTATGAAAGTAGCAATAGTAATAACTAAATCAATATCTCCCCTTGATTTCTTTTTCCCTCTTTTTTCTATTTTTGTGGAAATTACTGTCAGTTAAAAAAAAGATATATAAACCGTTGGTTTTTCTCCTTTTTTTCCAATTTTTCGTTTTAAAAAGAAAAACAAAAACCACTCTTGTGATACTACAGTATTAATAATATTTACTGGATAAAAATATGCACTAATTGATTATGATAAACATAAATAAATGAGAAATATTGACTGAGATTTGTTGATTGTAGCGAATAATATTTAAGAAAGAAATTAGTGTAAAATGGTTTAATGAATTGTAATGAATATTGTTAAGCTTTTAACATTATGAGAAATATCCTCAGCTACTAACGGGACTATTGTCTGAGTCACTAATCCAATTGCTTCTGGACACCTGTACTTGAACACGTAATTTATGTCCTTACTTTTTTCTTCTTTTTTTTTTTTGAAGAAATGTTTATAAGGTGTTCCCTTTGAGTATGTTTCTTTCGTTTTCTTAACTTCATTTTTCCAAAAAAAAAAAATTAATATATGTCCATTTCAGTGTTTGTATTTTTTTTTTACATTTTTTATACACTTTTTAATATTTTTAATATAAAATATATATATATTAAAAATACACGACATTAGCACTGTTTTGGGAATAATTATACTATGCTCTTCTTCGGTTGAACATAATAAACAAAAATTACAATTATATAAACATTATATACATATATATATATATATATTACATCACAGTGAATCTTTACATTAGGCTTTTAACTTAATTAGTTTGTTCCAAAACAGTTTCGCTCCTAAAAAGTACACGTGTCAAAACGACATTAAAAGTTTACCCCCATAATATACTAATTTAGGTTGTTGGAAAGTGTTTGTTTTCGCAAAAAAAAAAAAAGGATTAATGTCTAAAAACTAAATTCAAGATTGATCAATCTTGAAGGCCCATATAAGCCCACATGTGGTTCCAGCTCAAAACTAATTGACAATGAAGGGAGTAGCACATGAGGTATATATGTTGAGTTCAAGAGTTTTCATCCATCAATGTGGGACAATGGAATATGAGGTCATTTCTTTCTTTCATTCATTTAACACGCCCCTCTCTCAAGCCCAATGGGCTTGGATGGGTAATTTTATGTTTTTTTTTCAGTCTTACGATCGGTTATTTTCCCGGATAAACCGTCGCTTGCCGGGCCAGACAAAGTTCAAAGTCAAACCCCGGATTTCTTCCGTGGGTTGACCAAAGTTTCAAGATCCAATCTGGGTCAGTCCATCTCGCCCCACATGTCCCACAGGTCCGCGGATTAAAACTCACTCTGATACCATCTTGAAGGCCTAAATAAGCCCACATGTGGTTCCACCTCAAAACCAATTTGCAATTAAGGAAGTAGCACATGAGGTATATATGTTGAGTTCAAGAGTCTTCATCTATCCATGTGGGACAATGGAACATGAAGTCATTTCTTTCTTTCATTCATTTAACAGTCAAACATTTTTGCATTGTTCGTTGTTCAATGTTTATGGTCAATTTATAATATATTATCCAAATGATTTTTCTAGTTATTTTTGCTAAAATAAAATAAAAGATTGAGTAATCATTATGACAAAGGGAATACTGTTTGTATTTTAACATGTAAATGTAAAATACTCAAAATTCGTTGAAGCTTACAAAACTAGGCACCCGTTTCATGCTTTTGATACAACATTTTTTTTAATAAAAACTCTATATTAACTTTACTGGAATTCACTCAATACCGATTGACCAAAAAAGATACAACTATTAAGATATTCAATTGCCTGTATACATAAGATTTAATTCAAAATTGTTAGCTTCACTCCCTTGCAACATATTCAATTTAGATCTGGAACTATTCAGTTGAATTTTTCAATTGCCAAGTACGCCATGTACTATGATCTTGGACATATTACTTGTTTTCTGATGAAAATTTTATTTTATGGATCTAATAATCAGATCTATGGTAGATGCATCTTTTTGAACAAAAACTATGATCAACAACTCAACGGGCATCGATCACTGAATAAATTACAAATAACTCCTACAATTAGAAGATTAAAATCTACTGAAAGACTAACACAATCAGTAAATTAAGATTAACTGGCGGTCTGTTTTTTTTTTTTAAAAAAAAATGTACTGCCCAACCAAAACTTGGGAATAAAACACTAAAATCACAATAAGAAGGTTGAATAAAAACATTTCCCCTACCTTACTATGGTGAGAAGATAGGAGAATAAATTTTCTTTTTAGTTTAGGTGTTTAGGAGAGGGTGGCTGAGAGCAGGTTTTTGTTTTTGATCCAACTAGTTAGTTTTTAAGTACAAGATGGATAAGTTTGATCCGATTCATAGTAATTAAAAGTCTAATTAGTCAACTCTTATTTTGAATCCTTAAAAATCATATATATTAATAGAGGAGAAATTAGGGTTAAACTGCGCGATGTGGTTAACCGATTTTTAAGTTTTCCAAAAATCTGCTCAATTATATGTAGTAATTTTTTCCGTAATTTGTTAGTTTCACTTATTTACCGTTCGAATTTTAAAGATCAAGGCTCTGTTTGATAATCACTTAATATATTGACTTAATTTATTTAAATACTTAATGAAATTAAGTGTGTTTGATAATCTCTACAAAAAAGTCTTAATGAATTAAGTTCTTAACTAATTAAATACTTATAAATTAAGTGCGTTTGATAACTAGAATTTCACTGTTTGAATTAATTAAGTGCATCTGAATGGTTAGTTCAATTGTGAGCTAGAAAAAGTAATAGGCCTATCACTTATCACTTAACACTTAATTTCTGTAATGACTCTTTTTCTTCCCTTTTTTTTAAGTCATCTTTATTTTGACGCTTACTTTTACATTGTTTTAAAATTTTTAATTTCTTAAGATAAATTAATTAAGAGTGCCTAAATTTGAATTCATATTATGAGTATAAAAAATCTCAAACTTTCAAACTCAAATTAAACAAATTTTAATACATAAAATTTGCTAAATAACAAGGTATACATATATATCGATATATGTAAATAATATAAATTTAATTATATATTGATTATTTACTAACTGTATATCTAATTTCATTATATGTACTAAAAACTTATTTTAAAATTATTATTTTATTATTTAGAACAAAATATTAGTTATTTTCTATTTAAAAGAATTTTATTTATGATTCAATTTTAATGATATTAAAAAATTAAATAACTTTCAGACCTGATTATTTAGATTCAGCCTTCAGACTTCAGACTTCAATCTTCAGACATTAAATTCAAATATTTTTATCAAACAATATAAATTCAGTCTTCAGATTTCAGACTTCAGTGTTAAGTGTTAAGTGTTCAGATTCAGACTTCAGTAATTATCAAACGGAGTCTAAGATGTATCTAAATCTGAATTTTAAAAGTTGTAAACAGAAGATAATTATCCCATATTTGTTACAATATAGTTTGTTTTGTGAGAATCCCATAATTTTATTATCCTGTGTTTATTTTTTCATCAGTTTTTCTATCTCATTAATCTTTTTAAAAAAACAGAAGATAATGTGTATCCAGATTCTTTTGGGATGTGATTTAATTGTTACGTGAGAGTTGAATATTTGGTAGACTATAAAATGATCACTGGTTGGTATTAAGAATTGTCACTGCTGGAAAATTTTAGGTATTTCTCTCGATTTGTTTTTTTCGTTGATATTTTTTTTATATTTATTTAGTTTAAATTTATTTTAGATTGTTCATTAGAATCACATTTTTTAATTTGATGCAACGTTTTACGATTGCAGAAAATTGTCCGTATTTTTTTCCTCGAAATTCATTGGGCAAGGAGGCTTTTAGGCTAGCGAGTTAGAACAAGAAGCCAACGATTATTTCATATTGCTGTGAGGGTGAATTCCATTGTGAATTGGCTAAACATGTTGCTTCCGATGGTACCAAGGCTGCCACAAAGTTTATTGGCTCTTAGGTTTGTTTGATTTTAATTTTTTGTTTCTTTAATGTTATATTTGTGATCATAGAACTCTAATAATATTAGGGTTAGATTAGAGTGAGTGTGTTTATTTTCCCTAATTTGGTATTCTGCAGATTACGATAAGCAACTTATTGCTTAGTAGAACTCTTTTTGTGGGATAAATCTTATTCAATTTATATAACTGTTTGCCCAAATGTATTTTCCTCCTCTACTGTTTCCGATGCTGCATTTTGCAGTGGTCATTTCCGATGATCAACAGTTCATTAGTCATTGGAATTGATTCGGCTTCGAGTTGTATGACAGGTAATTTTATTCCCACAATTTCTTTTTTCTTTTTCGTTTACAGTCTCATTTATTGGTTTGGATTCGAGTTCTTTGGAATGGCTAACAATAAAAATAAGGTTGGTGTCCCATTATAGATCAATTCTATTTTTGTTGTTTGTTGAGATTCAGGAAGGAGTTTTTGGAGTTGGTCATGTCACTGTGTATTGTGGTAAGTTTGTGTTCCAGAATCTTCATTCCATTTCCATGTATAATCTTGATTCCAAAATCTTAAATATTAGTATTTTTTTTTTATGAGTAAAGGGCTACTTTCAGTCGATTGCCGTCATTGTTTAGGGAAGGAAATCCACAAAAATATGTCTACTTTCGTACTGATTTTGGTAATTTTTATGTGAAGTTACTTATCACACGAGGCCTAACAAATACTTGACATTCAGGAGTCCTGATCTTCATACATGCATCTCAAAAACATCAAGTTATGTCCCGCTAAATTGATCATGATTTATGGTTAATTTTGTTATATTGAATTGGATATTGTTTTATTGGCCGTGGGTTTTATGTTTCTAATGGCATTGGGTTGTAGTTTTGGGGATGAAAGATGATGGCTTTGTTAGATGATCTAATCATTGCCTTCATTCTCATGCGTTTCTAATGTATGCAAAAATCAATTGGCGCATTGGAGATTCTACTCCTTTTTGAAGTGATTGACTTATTTATTTTCCGTAATGCAGAAGGAATATATTTGCTCAGCATGGTGTTGTGGTTTTCCATGTTGATAATTTATGATGGCTTCTACAAAGCAGCAAAAGTCATTGCCAAATGGAAGATTATATTTTAGGGAAGCATCCTACAATTAAATGCCGTAGAATTCCCCATTACAAGTAGAGATGTTAGCCTGTACCTGAGCACTTTAAGAGACGTGTGC